ATTGAACTTTAATGCTTATTTTTCCTAGGGTTTCTTCAATTTTATGATTTTTAAGAATCATTCAATTTTGTTTCTTCTTTTTTTTTTTTTTTTTTTTTTTTGGCAAGTAGTTGTTAGGTTACTAATTACTTTAGTTTGCTCTTAACTCTCTTTTTTTTTTCTTTGTTCATCATTTTTGTTTTGGTTTTTGAATTGGAAATTTAGGGGAGTGGTGGGTTTAGATGTTAATTTTGAGGACTTAGTTTGCTTCGTAGTATAATATGTAGAAACACATCATGGTAGTCTGGAAGCAATAATGTGCAAAGTATTTCCTTAAAAGGTGACATACAATGGAAGAAACCGAATAATTGTTCCATTAATTGAATACAACAGATGATGTTGTAGTAATTAGATACAGGTAATTCTGATGCAGTGTTGATTTTCCCTTGCCTTTCGTAAGGATGAGCTGTTCTTGGATTCTCTACTTAGAAGATTAGGTTGCAGCTATTAAACATGAAGGACAGACTAAATCTTGTTTATTTTCTGTCTTCCAGAAAAGTGAAATTTCGGCTCACAGTGAGGGCGTATGCTATCTGGACGATCATGGGGTCAGTTTGCTGTGTTGCTGCGAAGAAAAGAACCCACCCAAATCGAACTGAAGGTGAAACATTGCGCAGGAATGCCATACGTTCACCGTCATGGAATTTTCAATGGGATAATCGACAGCGTGTTTCTAGTGAAATTGGTACTCCATATCAAGTCTCTCGTGGAATCAGTACTAATGATAGCATGGAGTTAAAAGGTGCATTAAGTTCTGAAAGGGGTAATTTCTCAGATCTGGGAAGCCCATTGGAGAATTTTGGAACACCTATATCTCAAAAGTCCCTGTTCATGGAGGAACAGGTACAAATCTGAGTCCATCTCCAGGTAATGTTACTCCCGCTTTCGTAAATGAAAGCTTCTGAACTTCCTACTTTTCATCGTGAGATTAATTTACATAAGATTGAATGTAGTGAATACCTAATGACCTCTTTTACTTGGTTTATAAACTATTACATCAGAAATGCCTGTAAAAATGAAAATTTAACTTTGCAATCCTCAGTGTGATGCAAATTGCACAGTGGTATCATGTTTGCATTGATAGGACTTTCTGATAGTCCTGAATGAGAATGACTGATCTTTTCTTGGTATTTGTAAATACTTTGAAGAACAACACAGTAGCCTTATACCAAATATATGCCTCTCTCTGCTTCCTAGTTTTCTGCTTTACATATCATCAAAATAAGATAAAGAAAGCTCAAATGTACAATTTTCTTCTGTCAAAATAGAAATTCTAGACGTGTCTTTGTTTTATGGATCGACAGCGTTTGTCTTAACAGAACATATATCTTAAATTTTAAGGACATATTTCTTCTATTTTATTTTTATTTTGAGCACATGTTAAGAAAGGACATTGATAACCTGCAGTTCCTTGTTTTACAATTATTTGTCCAGTGGAAAATTGGTAGCCCTTACGATGAGGTCTTTGGATGCTTGCTTGTGATGTTTTGCGCATGCACACACTAATCAGACATACTTCCATTTTATGTTAGGTAGTCACATAAGTTTAATCGTTGGATTGCTGGCATTTGTTGCTTCGTTTGTTTGTGATTTACTGAGCTGAGTATGTGCATTTTGCAGATATATCCATTGCAAGAAATTATTCTCCAGATGTGAGTTTGACTCCATTAAAACTAGACGTGTTATACTGGGTTTTGTGCATTGTTGTCTGATGCTCTATCCCTTTACCCATTGTCATTAGATTGTGTTGACCTCTTTCCATTTGCATTTCAGGTGAAGAGTTTGACAGAATCACCGGCAATTGCAAAGTCATTTGCATCAAATGTTTCGTTGTCCATGCCTACAAATTTTTCAACACCAACTGCAGAACCATCATGTACCCCTAGCTATCCACTATCTCCCAACTCAACCCTATCAAGACGAGCCCGTTGTTCACCAGGACATGAGCTGTTGAGACAGGTTTCTGATAGTCAGGTATTGGGATTAAAATCTCCAAATAACAACTCAATATCTGAAGGAAGACAATCATTTGTACTCTCTACTTGCAGCAATGACATGGGGCCTGGATCTCTAGGTGGGTCCTCTGATGGCTGGTCTATGCGTACCTTTTTTGAGCTCGTGACCTATTCTCAAAGGGAAATATGGTCTTTTGACAGTGAGAACTTTGGTTCTATCCATGGACAGCTAACTGGATCCAGCAGCAGGTTCTCATGTTCTCCTTCCATTGATTTGCAGTCTTGTGGAGTCTGCTCAAAGCTTTTAACAGAGAGATCTTCATGGAGCATCCAGAAAATTATTGCCGGCAGTGACACATCAGTGGTTTCTGTGTTGGTATGTGGACATTTGTACCATGCCGAGTGCTTGGAGACTATGACATTGGAGGTTGATAAGTCTGACCCGGCTTGCCCAATTTGTATGGTCGGAGAGAAGCAAGTATTAAAGATGTTGAGAAAAGCTTTGAGAGCCGAAGCAGAGCTCAAAGCTAAAAACCTTAAGATATCCAAAAATAGAGTTGTACGTAGCTACTTTGATGATGATTATGATGTTTTTGATCATCAGAAGAATGCCGATAGGAAAGTGAAAGTATCTAAGATGGAACCCAGTTCCAGCACTCGGAACAACTCTGCGAAACCTTTCTTGAAATGGCACTTCTCGCTTGGGTCAAGGTGGAGTAGATCCCTATCAGAAAACGATTGAGCTCCCGAACCCCAGCTGGTAAGGAAGAGGCAAGCAGAAGTCTAATTATAGATGTTATACCAGCACCATTAGGTTTTTTCTTCTAGAATTTGTAGTCTAAGCTTCGATAATAAATTCAGTTTCATTTCAAAAGTTCCTTTTCGCAGAATTGCCAGATATCTGTCGTAAAAACCATGCCTGTGCGTACTTACGTGTCTGCGAATTCATCAATTGTTGTCATGGGTTCGGAGAAAGATGGAATCCAATTCCTCATACGTTGTTCTGAATGTGGTAGAATCTAGTTTTGCAGTTGCAACTGTTTAAGTTAAGAGAGCATTTTCGGCAATTAATCAAAGGTTAAGTAGAGCTTGGTTATTTACGAGAGATGTTATTGTTTGTATTGATGATGGAACCACAATGCGACGTTTTCAGAATATGAACGATGATATTGTAGCTTGTAAATTTGTAACGTTGTTTCTTCCATGGAATAATGATAGAACTGTTTAATTTTTTCGGGTGTTACAGATTTGGATCCGCCGTGGGTATGGTAACGTGTGAGAGGGATTTACTAAGAACCTCACTGGAACTCCTGTGGACTCCGCCAGCTCCTCCCATCGACATGGTCAAGAGGTGCATTGTTCTGCATTTTCCCGCTTTTCTCGATTCCATCTAGAAAGAAATTTGGGTTGCTGGAACTCAGAGTAGAGAGAGATTATAGTTCAATCCGAGCAAAACCCATAGGATTGTTATTTTTATTATTCAATTTATTAGCCTGACACTACATCAAAGGTTTCACTATTCTTATATTGATGGTCGAAAAACTATGGGGTAGAGTAAGATACTGGGCAGCCCTTCTGGGCATTGTTTTCAAATGAGTTTAGGGATTATTCTCCTTCCCATATAGCGTGGGATATCTTAGCTAGTTTTGCTAGATGGAGGATTTCTTTTGTAATTTATGTTATTGTCTAAATAACTTGTTATCGTTTCTTATGAAAATAAAAAAAGAAAAAAATAAGTTGTTTAATTTAAATCCAGCTTAGTCCTTGAAGTTAAATCAATCTTAACTGAGGTGAAACAAGCGGGGTATAATAAATTCATATCAAGTCTGTTCTCAAGGAGCTATAAATTTGATCAACTTGCTCGATCCATTGGAAGTAAATCTACAATAGAGAACTTACATGAAGCAGGTTTACTAACACCACGGCAAACTGTTTCAATAGAACATTGACGTGTTAAGTTTTCAACACGTCATTGTTTAAGTGGACTGCGATGCCACGTGGCAGTAAAATCATTCCGTGTAAGCTACTCTCCTGCCAACGGCATCCAAATTTGAGCACAACAGAAGACAATAGAAACAAAGTGATTTTCTTCTGTGTTTCAATACTCTTAACAAAAAGAATTAAACATTCCAACCGTCCAAGGAAACACCCGATGTCCGTCCTACCCAGAGTCACACTGGTTTCCACTTTAGCTAGTAAGATAAAATCAAATTTACTCTGCTCCTATCAAACCAAAATAAACCTTTAAATTTGCTACTCGGTAGCGTCAGGCCTGCGGTATGGCATGTATCTGTGGTCCTTTGCTGCATTCTTCCGGCGCCTTTTTTCAATGAAGGGTTTGAGCTTGCCAGACGCCTGATCATGCAAATGGATGACATTAGTTGCCAAAGCCAAAGCCAAAGCCATCATGACTAACTACTAATATCACAAAGGTATTGAGGAAAATATTTTACCTTGAGTTGTTTATACTTCTCCACAAGTCGTTTCTTTCGGATCTCAGCTGCCAATAATTAAAGAATGAAACGTCAATTGTAATTTAATTCAATTTACTATACTCCTATTTATGCCAAGCAACAGTATATAGAACACACGATTTATCACAATTCCAGTTAGCAGCAATACAAGTTGTTGGTTGATGGCCATGCAAAACACTGCACTGATTGTGGTTGAGAGTTTTGAAGTGTTCAATCTTGTAATGTTATTTGGGCCGTGTTGTTAACCTAGATATTTGGTTGTCTGGTAAATAATTGAAGTTTTCTTATGATCCTTGCTCATAAGCAAATAAAATACAGCATTACCTTAATGAATTGCCATCCATGTAACATTACAAGAATGAACATCTCAAGATTCCCAACCATGACCAAGGAAACGTCCAGCACTGGAACCGCCAATACCGGTTACTATAGCTGCTCCTTAGAATTGTGATAGAAAATTTCAAACAGAAAATTTTCATTTCCTTGCATCTCGTATGTACTGACTAGAAGTATTTTGAACCGGAGACAGATGAACATGCGCACAGTGGTAGAGAGGCAGCAAGAAAGGGCATAACATTTCTTAAGAAAAAAGGGTTGCTTCCCTTCCTTTGCTGCTTTTTCTCTCTTTTTTCTTGTGCTCAGTCAGTATTGCAGCTTCAGTACACTTAGCTGACTCAGAATTTAGCTGTTTATCCTACAAAGACATGAAAACAAAGATAAATGAATAGTTACAGAACCAGTTTCATCCAAGCAAATTTATAGTTAAAAGGACAATATAGCATGGTGGACAAATGAGGGTATCTGTCGAAAATATTTATATAAAGGCAAGCATTAACAATCAAAGAGATATGTTTCTTTAGTTCTTCAATGGTTTTTGGGTCCTTAGATTTCTTAATTTGCTTCTGTAGTTCCTGTCATATTCAAACCAAAACTAAGAGAGAGAAACGGTACGTATAGATGATACTGGATTTATATGACTTATTTAAGAAACTTACGTCTTTTTTGGCAGGAAGCTCCTCCTCAAATAAAAAGCGATATTTCTTCCTAAATCTGTTGAATACATGTCATTCCCTCTTTCTTTTTCATTTTGCAGAAGCAAAATTTGCTGAAGGCTAAAGAGTTGCAAGTTCAAGACACGTTGACCACTACCCATGAAACAATAAACAAGAAAAAGCCAACATAGGAAAGTTTATCTATCATACAACAACTATAAGATCAAGATCAGAACATCTTTCCAATCTACAAAATAACAGCAACAAAAAAAGGAATTTTCAGAAACTTGGACATTAAACAAAACCCAAAGTGATGTCAAAAACCTTCTGCCATCCAATACCCTACCACTCCAACAACCCCCCCCCCCCCCCCCCCCCCCCAAAAAACCAAAAAAAAAAAAAAACATTCCATTTAAAATTTCAAAAGTCATTTTCCGTCACACATTTACCGTCTGTGGATTACATGTTATTCACTAACCTGCTTCAAGAAAAAACCAATAAACGTAAAACTCCAGTGAAGGTTTTCAGAGAGAGAGAGAGCATACCGATCAACATCAAGTTCTCCACATAAAGATTCAAAACGTGGGTCGCGTACCACCTGAACATAGCAAGAAATAATTTCAACTGAGGTATATTGATTGCTTATCAATAAATTGATTAACTACAGATGTGATTCACAACTTTGATCATCTATTTTCTAGCTTTATCATAACTTTGACAAATCAAATCTTGCAGGATAAGTAATCCTAAAAAGAAAAACCACATGATATACTAAACCACCTAATTCCAATACGTCGTGCTTAAAATCATACCAGATTTTGATTACAAATAGTTCAGGGCAAAAACATAGCAACTGACTTACTATAGTTAAAGTTAACTTTCCTCATGGTAAAATATTTGTAATTACCATTGTTTTCTAATGAAAGCTTCTGCAACCCATTAGAAAACAGAAGAATGAACTTCATAGTACAAATCATAAAAAACACCATACAAAAATCTCACCTTTTTTGAACCTTGAACGACCTCTCGAAATCTAGGGACAGGCTTCGTGCAAGTAACATCCATCGGCCTTCACAAACACACAAACACAAACATATTCATCTGATCAACTACAAAACATATGAACAACAACAAAGCCTTATCCCACTAAGTGAGGTCAGCTATATGAATCCTAAAACGCCACTGCACTCGGTTTTGTGCTATGTGTTCTGTTAGATCCAAGTAGCCTAAATCTTTTCTTAAAGTCTCTTTAAACGTATGAACCCA